ACTGCAAGCAGTCAGTATTTTTCTTCCTTGCAGGAATGCAAAAATGTGGTACCAATCCTTGCTCAGTTGCAGATTGGACAAAGTCCCGGCAAGAGACGTCTCGGACCAGGCAAGGAGCTGCAATCGGCACAATTATTTAAATTTATAACAGCCAAAACTGGAAAAGCCTGGAACCGGACTTCTACAAACCTCTACATTATCTTCATGCCCTGCCGCATGACTTCTTGGACCTTGTATGTGCTCCTGGAATATGCAAAGCTAAACAAACTCCTGCGGCTATGCATGAGCAGGTTGCTTCGAAGCAAATCGGTCCAAGAATCGGCCACAGGCCTACTTAAAGTCGGGCAGCATTTGTGCAAGCTGCTTCGTTGAGAAAAGAGCATGACAGGTCACCGTTCGAGAAATTTGACCATTCGCCCCCACAGCCAGAGCTGCATCCTGACACAGCATTGGTTTTGGACTCTACTCTACAAATGTATCATGTGCACATCAAAACATGTCCTGGCAAGGTGACAAGCAAGCTTGTTGGTCCTGGGTCGAGTAGTTGTTGATCAAGGTCCATCTGGCATCGCCCAGACCTTCAATGGCAGCAACTTCTCCAGAACGGATGTGTCGGACCTGCTTCTTGTCAAGGTCGAGATCATACTGTCTGCATTCGTCGACCTGATGCAAGGATTCAACTTTTCACGGTGCTATGATGTTGTGATCCTGGAAGCCTATGCAGAGTCTTTGCAGCTATGCTACATACTCGGACCAGTTCTTGGTGTCGATGTGCTGCAGCACCGACCCCAAGGAAGTATGCCGTTCCACTGCCCAAGCAGCCAAGGCAGAGTACTGTCTGACAGCCTTTCCGCCCTTTCGGTCTGTTCGGGCTCTCTTCTTCGGGCCAGCATTCGGGCCCGGCTGCTCAGCAGCAGGAAGAATGCTGGATGCACTGAGGTCCAGTGCGAACATCCAGACGAGCCTGCGGTCCCCTGTGGACCGAGGGAACGACGTGGAGTCGCTTATGTTGAAATCGGCCCGCAGCTTCGACAGACAATATTTCACGAATTGGTCTGGAGCCCTGTCCACTCGGGCCGTCGTCACCAGCTTGTCGTCATATGCCGCCAGGCAGTCCTGATTTGGGAAAGAAGCAGAGCAAGCAGGAAGAGAAACGCACCTGGTGAAGTCAGGGCAAGTTGCTTCCGTCGGGCCATCGAAAAGCCCCTGCTCCAAGTACTTGAGGACCTTCATTGCCAGAGCAGCATTGTCCTGACATCGGGCCAGGATTGTTTTTGCCTCTGCCGATGCGACAAGATCATCGATGGAGCTGGCCAGGCTGGCTCTCTTGACGCCCATGGCTGCACAAGTGCTGCAAAACTGCTACACTCGGGCCAAAACTTCTAGAGACACAAAAAGCTTGGTCACTTCTGGCATGCTCACCCGGCAAGGCCCTTGCCCACGGAGCCTGGTCGTCATGCAGTTGCTTGGTGTCCAAAGCACCTGCAACCCAGACAGATTGCAGAAGTATCATCAAGGTTAAGGTGGTTCTGGCAAGCAACAGCAATGGTCAGAGCTGTTCCTGGTCTCAGTCTGCCAGAATTGAAGCATGTCAGATATACCGAAGTACTGCAGGCCTTCTTTGGCTGAGTGCCACATTCAGGAGCAGAGGACATTCAGGCGATGGTTTCTAGAAACACAAGAGTTGGCTGATGAAGGAATTTCGTCAGGTTCTAAGTAGCTCTCTTTGGCTACGGCTACGAGATGCTCAACTTCCGGAAATGTTTGCAAAACCTTGAACAGGGTGTGACCGGGTCTGGTGCCTACTACATAGTCTGGCCTGGATTCAGTGCAGATAGATGCAGTTCTTCTCTGGGGCTGCAAGCCGGCACGGGTTTAGGTTTCCAGAGACTCCCAATTTAGGAGTACACCTTGGACTAGTTCAGGAGTACACCCTCATTCCAAGGGGATCCTAAATTACAAAGGGATCGGTCCTCAATCATAAGGCCATCCTCAGCATGATTTACACTATGTATGTATGTATGTATGTTTGTTTGTGTATGTGTATGTATGTATGTATGTATGTCTTTATGTATGTATGTTTGTGTATGTGTACGTATGCATGTATGTATGTACGTACCTATGTATGTATGTATGTCTGTCTGTCTGTCTGTCTGTCTGTCTCTGTCTGTATGTACACATGTATGTATTTATGTGTGCATGCATGCATGTATGTATGTATGTATGTATGTATGTATGTATGTGTGCATGCATGCATGCATGCAAGTCTGTATGTAATTTGTTACGTAGTTATTTATGTACTTGCTTGCTTGCTCACTTCCTTGCTGGCTTACTTGTTTACTTGCTTACTAAAAAACATGCTTAGTGATCAAACTTGTTTGTTCGACATTTGTCCATCGGAACCATTTATACGAGCATGTACTGATCTTGAACTTTCCAGCTGGCAAGGTTTTCAGTCGTGCAATTGACAGTTGCGTGCTGCAGTAGATGGTGCAGCCGCGGGAATCTACACATGTGTGCCTAAGAAGCAGATCTGAATAGGTTGTAGCCGAATCCTTCTGTCGCCCCCATGTACCTATATCACACTGTAGCTCCTAAGCTCCCAAAGCATGAAGACCTAACTCAACTCCTGCAGGATTCGGGGCTGTAACCCTAAACCCAACATGCAAAGCCCCGAGTAACGACAGCCCCGAATCCTGCAGGAGTTGAGTTAGGGACATTAATAATTGCCACCGGGGTTTCGGGGATGCTACAGTAACATTGGAATACGGAATCTGTAAATGTAGATATAGGTGAAAATTCTGATGTCAAAATAAAACACCCCAAACACTAAACCTTAAACCGCCGACCCTCAAATCGAGTTTTTAATCCAGAACCCGAAACCCGAAACCCTAAACTACTAAGTCTGTAGGCCCTTGGAAGGAACCCTTCAAAGAACCCTTTCAGGAACCCTAAACCCGCAATTGCCCGAAATCCCCAGGCAGCCAAGGGGCGGAGTCCGGCTCGGATGCAGCTCTGCGCTGATCACGTTGCCTGGAGCAGCGATGTTTTGGTTCATTGTCTCTAGGGTTTAGGGTTTACAAATTAGGGTGAATAATAACGGGGTTTGTGTTTAGGGCTGAGGGTTCATGGGTATTTTGGAGTTTCCTGTAGGGTAATCACAGGGTTTGTGGCTTAAAAGGGTTCCTGTAAGGGATGAATCTAAAAAGGGTTGTATAATACAGAATTCAGAAATGGGTTTCGGTCCCAGGATGAGAAGGAAGCAGGGGAGAAGTAACATGCATAGCTGGTTTGGTAGCCCTCAGAGCAGGTTTAGCTTTAGGATCTATGCCTTAAACTTCAACGGTGCTTGCTGAGCTGTGAGACAGAGATTCCAGAGCATGCAGCAAAGGACTCGTCTCCTTGGCCGACTTAGTCTAAGCTACAGTAGCGTTTCTGCTTAAGCCTCCTTGTTCCATGGCCTCATGGCCCTCTTGAGGCTGATTCTTTGGGTGCTAAGCTCTTGCTTCTTTTCTGAGGGCCGCAGCCTTGAGCCTGAGTTGTCTGCTGCAGGGACTGACTAGGACCTCTGCCTGAGCTTCAGTCTAGCGCTAGGCTCCAGGCCCTAGGCTGGCTAACCTAGGCCCTGGCCGTCGGCCGGAGGCCGTGAGGCTCTAGGCTAGCTAACCCAGGCCCTGGGGCCCCCGGGCCTAGGCCTCAGGCCGGCCTGAAGCTGAAGGCCGCTAGCTAGACTCTAGACTCCAGGCTTCAATCCTAATCTGTCCGAGCTCTTTCTTACTCAATGGGCTTCTGTCTCACAGCAAGCAGCCAATGAAAAGGGCCCTGTGCAGACTTACCAGGGGCCCACGCGCCCTCTCAGGCCTCTGCTGCTACGCATCTTGTCTCGCAGTTTTGTGTGCCGGTGCCCTACGCGCTCATTCCCAAATATGCCACGCGTCAGTTGTGCTACGCGTCACCTCTGCTACGCGCAGTTTTGGCGTAATTGTTCCCTCGGGCAACGCAAATCCGCGTAAAAGAAGTCTCGGGCCACGCGCCTGACCGGCGTAATTCATCCCTCGGGCAACGCGAATCCGCGTAAAAGAAGTCTCGGGCCACGCGCCTGACCGGCGTAATTCATCCCTCGGGCCACGCACATCGGCGTAAAACATCTCGTGTGCCACGCAGCCTAGGGCCAGGAGTGAAATTACTGCGGCCGCGTGACGCCCTAAGCAAAACTAGGGCCAAAACGTGGCGTAAAAACCCTAAGCAAAACTAGGGCCAAAACGTGGCGTAAAACACCTAAGCAAAACTAGGGCCAAAACCTGGCGTAAAAACCCCTAAGCAAAACTGGTACCTTTTTCAGGTGTGCACCTCCCCTAAGGCCCTAAGGGAAAAGGGCACCCAAATCTGGCATAAAACTCCTCTGAGGGTCCATAGAGTACAGATGGCATCTGTTGCAAAGCTCAACCCAAGGTCTGAAGGCCTCTGACTCCAAGGACTCCACGGCCACGGACTGATAGCGTAAGCATGCTGCTTATGAGGCTTGGGGGCTTAGGCTTATAAGGGCTCCAGGCTTAAGGCTTAAGGCTTTAAGCACTCTAGGCTGTAACTGTTTTTGTTCCTGAAACCTTGAGCCTTAAGACGGACTTTTAATTGCTCCCGCGGGTACCCGCACAGGGCCCGCGGGTACCCGCACAAGGCCCCTGCGGGTACCCGCACACAGCCGGTACGTCTGTGGGTATGTGGAATCACCTCAAAGTCTTTAATGAACTAGGACCTAGGAAGCTTTCTGCAAAGACCTCAATGGAGCTTACTTAGCCAATTCAAGAACACGCCAACAAGACATGTGGGTACCACAGGGCACAGGGCACACGGGTACCCGCACAAGGCCCCCGCGGGTACCCGCACAAGGCCCGCGCGGGTACCCGCACAAGGCCCGCGCGGGTACCCGCACAAGGCCCGCGCGGGTACCCGCGAAGGGCCGGTATGTCTGTGGGTAATACTGAACTACCTAAGTCTTAAGCCTTAAGCCTTAAGCCTTAAGCTTTCTGCAAAAACCTCAATGGAATTTACTTAGACTTAGTCAATTCAAGAACACGCCAAGAAGCCACGCGGGTACCCGCACAAGGCCCGCGCGGGTACCCGCTGACAAGGCCCGCGCGGGTACCCGCACAAGGCCCGCGCGGGTACCCGCGCGGGTACCCGCAAAAGGCCCGCGCGGGTACCCGCAAAAGGCCCGCGCGGGTACCCGCACAAGGCCCGTGCGGGTACCCGCACATGCAAGGCCCGCGCGGGTACCCGCAGAAGGCCCGCGCGGGTACCCGCAAAGGGCCGGTATCTCTGTGGGTAATTTTGAACTACCTAAGTCTTAAGCCTTAAGCCTTAAGCCTTAAGCTTTCTGCAAAAACCTCAATGGAATTTACTTAGACTTAGTCAATTCAAGAACACGCCAAGAAGCCACGCGGGTACCCGCACAAGGCCCGCGCGGGTACCCGCACAAGGCCCGCGCGGGTACCCGCACAAGGCCTGCGCGGGTACCCGCAAAAGGCCCGCGCGGGTACCCGCACAAGGCCCGCGCGGGTACCCGCACAAGGCCCGCGCGGGTACCCGCAAAGGGCCGGTATGTCTGTGGGTAATACTGAACTACCTAAGTCTTAAGCCTTAAGCCTTAAGCCTTAAGCTTTCTGCAAAAACCTCAATGGAATTTACTTAGACTTAGTCAATTCAAGAACACGCCAAGAAGCCACGCGGGTACCCGCACAAGGCCCGCGCGGGTACCCGCACAAGGCCCGCGCGGGTACCCGCACAAGGCCCGCGCGGGTACCCGCAAAAGGCCCGCGCGGGTACCCGCACAAGGCCCGCGCGGGTACCCGCACAAGGCCCGCGCGGGTACCCGCACAAGGCCCGCGCGGGTACCCGCAAAGGGCCGGTATGTCTGTGGGTAATACTGAACTACCTAAGTCTTAAGCCTTAAGCCTTAAGCTTTCTGCAAAAACCTCAATGGAATTTACTTAGACTTAGTCAATTCAAGAACACGCCAAGAAGCCACGCGGGTACCCGCACAAGGCCCGCGCGGGTACCCGCACAAGGCCCGCGCGGGTACCCGCACAAGGCCCGCGCGGGTACCCGCACAAGGCCCGCGCGGGTACCCGCACAAGGCCCGTGCGGGTACCCGCAAAGGGCCGGTATGTCTGTGGGTAATACTGAACTTAAGCCTTAAGCCTTAAGCTTTCTGCAAAAACCTCAATGGAATTTACTTAGACTTAGTCAATTCAAGAACACGCCAAGAAGCCACGCGGGTACCCGCACAAGGCCCGCGCGGGTACCCGCACAAGGCCCGCGCGGGTACCCGCACAAGG